TTCTCTCCCCTTCCATCTCTTTTATGTTTACATTGTATGTATGTGGATATATAAAAGCTATTTTTCCTTATACATTTTTCAAGTGTCCCATTTCAGCTTCATTTCTATAGAATTTACATTACTAGCATTTCATATGCACTGGAATTAAGTATCGGAGGTACAGATCGTTAGAGCTGGGTGAATTTATTGTATGGTTCAGCCAGCAAACCAAAAAAAAAAAAAAATCAGGAAAAAAATTTGGTTAGGGTCAAAAAATGTTCAGAATTTGTCAGCAAATTGGAAAAGTCTGTAACAGGTCATAAGGAACATTTCATTCATTCCTTCCCTTTGCCCATGTCCAAACCATAACTAGTCTGCCTCTTCCTTTCGGTCTCTTTTTCATCCACACCCTAATTATCTCCTCTCAAGTCTTTTTGACATTATTCTTGCTTCTCTTCCACCCATCAGCTATGTCCAAAAGTGCTGCTTATAAAATTCTCTCTTCTCTGTTTTTACCATGTTAATCTCCTATTCAAGTCACTCAAATGCCACTTCACTGGCTGTATATCTAATTCAAGTTTCTTGTCCTTGCTCTCAAGGCCCTACATCACAAAGCCGTTTCTTCCAGTGACACTTGCACTGATATACCTTTCATCAGCTTCTCACAGGTATCTCCATGCCCTTTTCCATGCTGCCCTTCTGCTTAAAATATATTCACCAAATCTGTTCACTAAAACAGTTCTTTGATAATCCCACTTCTAAAGACCTGCTTCTGCTGCAAAGCCTCTAAGTGGCAAAGATGGTGGCGGGGGTGGCAGAAATGTTATTAATTTCCCTTTGAAACTGTCTAAAATAAGGTGCTGTACAACTGCTCAGTTCTTTACCTCTAGAACATTAGAAACATTCCTGCTTGGAGCGCACTGCTGTATTTTCAAGCATTGTCAGTTGGAAGTTACTCGCACATCATTGTGGCGCCAGGCAGAATTACGAACAGGATCACTTCTACCCAGAATGGCCTGTATTCTTTACTTCTCCGTAGTCTTAAACATCTCTATTTAAAGCTCCTTATGTGCTATGCTGCTGCATTATTGGAGAGTACAACTGTAGGCCCAACTCACAAGCTGCATAAGCAACTATCAGTGATTCATGAAATGAAATAGCCATTCTCTAACGAGAGTGTAAAATATGTGCTCACACTACAGAATGCAGACGTCTTGAAGCCTGTAATCATACCATCTTGTACTGATCTCAACTAAGCAGGGTCAGGCCCAGTCAGTACTTGTATGAAAGGAACAGCTAAGTATTGCAGAACGAGGTGCTTGAGATTCAGTAGATAGTGTTCATCTCTTTGACAGGGTATGTTTTCATTGCAGAGTTAGCCTTGGCTATTACATGGGTTTTAGCCCAAACCTCCCCTACTGTCCACACACAAATCTTTCATGTGGGCTTGTGTGTGATTTGAATCCAGGCTTGCTTAACCAGTTGGGGGTACAAGTTAGAGTCTGGGTTTCACTTTAATACAGGCTGTAACCCACCCACTTGGCAGGCTGGACACAGGCTGAAAACTGGGTTACAAAACTCTGGCTCTGATAGTCCTGCAATGCCTTCCCACAATTCCTTGGGGCCTGTATTTACCTGCCCTTCTATATACTCAGCACCAGAAGTCACCTACTAGTTTATATGCACCTGGTTGGCATCTGAACCCCTTGTTTCATGTGACCTGCTCTCATTTCTGCAAAGTCTCTAACGGTGATTTTGTCCAGAGAAATCCTCATCTCAGCGTGCTGTTAGCTGGCCAAAGACTCTCTCCAAAGTTCTGATAGTCTTGGGATGTGAGCTCAGTAAGGCTCACTATTTGGGGAGATGAACCTGAAATCACCACCTCCAAGCAGCTGGCAGAAGAAGGGATTAAGACAAATGAGTTACCTTTTCCATTACTGGTGTTCTTCGAGATGTGTTGCTCATGTCCATTCCATATTAGGTGTGTGCGCTAGCCACATGCACCAGTGCCCGAAGTTTTTCCCTCAGCAGTATCCGTAGGGGACCGGCTCTGGCGCCCTCTGGAGCGGTGCCCGTATGACACAGTATAAGGGGCACCGCCAGCTCCCCCCACCCTCAGTTCCCTCTTGCCGGAAACTGACTGTGGGGAAGGAGGGCAGGTTGTGGAATGGACATGAGCACTCCCCTTTGGGCTTGCTACACCACCCAGGGTATTCACAAAAGTTTTCACCATGGTAGCAGCCCAGGTGCAACACCAAGGCTAACCATGAGCCTAGAGAGGACCAAGTTAAGATCCCACTATGGGACAAGAGCCCATACCTGCGGGAAGAGTCTCTCAAGCCCTCTCAAGAATCTGGCTGTCATGTCATGGGAAAACACCGTCTGTCCTTGGATCAGCAGTTGAAAAGCGGGGATGGCTGCGAGATGCACTGCTGCTTCTTGAATTTGCCTTACTTTCTGTACTGGTTTTTACTTCCTACCCTAAACTACAGCATTGCTGTATGTTGTTATGCAGCTGTCATGTTTCAGTGGCACGTGAAGTGATCTCTGTAAATGCTTTATCTACCTCACACAGCTTCTGGGACAACTAGTAACTGTAAAGTGCTCTGAGAATTTTAATAAAAAGGTTCTCACAATTGTAAAGAATTATCTTCATCTCATTTCTGTTCCAACCACCAATATGCAAGTTAGGCACCACTAGAGAGGTGTTCAGCAATAAAGCCCTACACAGTGTAAAGCAGTTAGTTGCTCTTTCAAACGTGGAGGTTTTCCTTGCGTTCGTGCAGCAAACCCTACATTAAAGGTATTCAAAAAATACGGTCTGATATATCCAACTGCATCAGCAACACCTGCAAGCTTAAGGCACTTTTGAATAAACTTAGCAATCAATAGAACAAATAATTCTGTTTATTAAAACTAAGCATCAACGGAAAACTGGCAACCTGTTTTGTAAGCAGCTAAACCTGAAAATGGAATGCATCCCACCTCACTCAGAGCAACAACTAAAATATAAAACCAAGAAATGTGCAATCCTCATAGTAACAGTAACAGGCATTCAAACTTTCCCCAAATGAGGATTTAATTAGCAACTTGCCAGAAATTGAATGGTGTACCCGATTAGCATAAAATGGTGCTAAATGCAACCCCAAAAGAGGTTACAGTAAGAACTATTTTTACTTTAGCAGAGGCTACTTGTATCAAGGTGGAGCACTGCACGCTCAGACAAATAGATTTCACAGGATGAACCTCCACAGTCAGGCGGCCAGCAAAGGAAAAATATTAGTCTTTTACCATTTTGGGCTTCTTTATAAAGGATGAAAGGCCTGAAAAATGGTTCTGTTTATTTAAAAACGGAAACAAAAATTTTCACATTAGAAATTCAGGTCTTGTCAATACTGGAAGACTATGGCACAGGTGTCAAACCCATGGCCTGCCGCCCAGATCCAGCCCCTAAACCCTTTCCTATTACCCACAGCTGCCTGCCTGCTGTAGGTCAAAGAGGGCTGGCAGAGAGCTGGGGAGGTAGCTTGCACCTGGATTGGGACCAAGCAGCTGAGACCTTCCTCTCTCCACCAGCATTTGGTCAGAGCGCCTTAAAGGCCACGCTGAAAGGAGGCTCCTTTCCCGTCTTCCCTACCCCGTCTCTGCCTTTGAACCCACAGGAGCAGGCCCCTTTTCTCCCTCTGCTGCCTACCTGGCCTAGTCTTTGCCAGTCCCTCCACCCTGAGTCAAAAGAGACTTCTTTCCAGGCTTCCCGCTCTTCTCTGCTGCCACCACTGGCTTGACCCCACAAGATCAAATGAATGAAAGCAGCTGCTTCTAAACTGCCCACTCTCCAGAGAACTGGAGGCGGAGAATAAGTGAAGAAATCCCCAGAGGTGGGGGAAGGGAAAAAAAGGGGAGGGAAATGATCAAGTGGTATATATAAAAGAGGGAAGGTGGATGGGAATGATTCTCAAAGTGGAGCAACAGGTAGGAAACATTCAAAAAAAAAAGTGTGCGTGCAAATGGCAGGTGCATAAGCAGGGAAGACAAGGGAGAAGAGAAGAGATGGTCACGGAGGAATACATAGTGATAAATTAGTGGACAACAGACAGAAGGTTTCATAGATGCATTTACTTTTTAAAAAAAAGCTTTGTCTTTAAAATAACATTTTAAATTTTGCTAATAAAGAGGCTCATTCTGAGTTGTACAGACCATAACGTTTGCCTCTTGCCTGTGAACTTTTCACTCCCAGCCCATGGACTTTGGGGGACAGAGTAACTTGGCCCTCACCAAAGAATAAGGTGACTGGAGAACTAGTTACATTAATGACATCACAAAAAGACACACTTGGGCAGCTGAGAGAAGATTCCTATAGGCTACTTAAGTTTTATTTTGTTTTTTTAACTCCCATATCTAACAAGCACTTGTTTGGAAGAGTGTGTGAAACATTCAATACCCTTTTCCCCACTACTTTAATTAGGGTATGAGAGCTCTCAACAGCCTGAGGCCCAAGAGGTCATTCAGTATCACTAGGGAAGACAGGATTGATTTCTGATATTTCAATGGTTGAAATACAAGCAGAAAAAGTGTCTTTCAGGCTCTCTTTATACATGATAAAAATGGGAAAAGGTCACAAATCCAATTTTAAGGGGGGGAAAAAACCTTTGTAGATTACCTTTAAAGATTAGATTCATTTGGATTTGTGGGCAACACTGGCCATCCATACATTAAAAGAAGATGAAGCTATATGTAACACTTTGCAACAAATACTCTGCAAAATATGCAACATTATATGCTATTTTTAGATACAAAATGTAGATCGCAATATATAACCTAATATCTATCTTCAAAAATATTTCTCCCCCATCAGGCATGTGTATTTATTTTGGTTCCTTACATCATGAATTGTACTCAAAGAGAGAAGGTTCACCTATGATCACATTCTCAGCCACTATCACAAATGTCTTAATTATAAAAATTACTCAGAATAATCCCAAATAGGAGATTGGTCAACCTATAAGAAAAGAAGAACTAACCAGTTAATTTTTCCGTTGACTTGGTGGGGTGACGTGCAGGCTTTTGGGGGTCCTGGAGACCCACTGATGGGGGTACAGGAGGGACTTTGACACATAGGGTTTCCTAAAGACTGCGTAAGACGAGAACTCTGCAAGAGAAAAATAAAATCTCAAACTCAGGATAGCTTGATGAAAGAATGAACTTCGAAGAGGGATGGGGAGAAAAAAAGTAATCAATCTAAGTAGCATTTTGCAATTAAAAATAATGCTGAACACAGTTAGGCAGTCCCAATGCAATCAATTATTTACAGTTTCTTTCCATCCACTTTGATTCAGGGATCAAAGAAAAATTCTTCAAATCACCCCACATCAGTGATTTTAAATTGCATTCTTACGTTACAAAAAGTTGTCAAATACCATTTCTAGTCCTCTGATCTATAAATTGGAAACCACTTTCATTGCTTGCCAGCTTCACTTGGAATACGAGCAGCTTTGGTGTAGCAAAAATTTTGTTTCATACCAACTGTCCCAAAACTTTAGCCAAATGCTAGCATCAATCCAGGATTTCTGGTAGTCTAGGGGCACATTTATATACTTACTGGACATGATTCTGAAACACTGTAAAAGGACCTTGGACTCTGACATTAAGCTTTCAGACCTAAAGCTTGATGTGTGCATGCATCTACATTTTATGAGAATTTAGTGCTAGCGAAAAATAAGGTCACTCACCTTGCGCAGAAACTGTAGTTCAAGATGTGTCCCCCTATGGATGCTCCACTTCAGGTGTGCATATGCCTCTTTCCATTAGCAGCGTCTGTTCAGCTTGCGCATGCGTGCCATACAAGCTCATGCCACACTCTTAGGGTATGCAGGGCTGCACAGGCAAATTGCCCTCAGTTCCTTCTCTACCTGAATGTCCAACAAGAACAGTTCAAAGCAGGGGGGAAGAAGGGCGGGTCCACCCATAGGGAAACATCTCGAAAAACCACGGTTACTGCACAAGGTGAGTAAGCTTTTCTTCTTCGATTAGTGTCCCTATGGGTGCTCCATTTCAGGTGACTCCGGAGCTGTATCCTCACAGGGAGGAGGGAACTTAGGAATCAAGTCCAAGACTGAAGACAGTACAGCAGATCCAAGTACTGTATCAGATCTGAGAGTGTGGACCAAGCATAATGTTCAGAAAAGATATGCACTGAAGCCCATGTAGCAGCTCTGCATCTCTCAGACACTAGAATGTTTTTGACTAACACTGTGGAAGTTGCTTGTGATCTTGTATTGTGTGCTATAATCCTTTGGGGAGCAAAGCACCAGCTGTATCATAACAAGCAGTAATACACCCAGAGATACATCTCAACAGTCTCTGTGAAGAGACTGTGGACTCCTTTGATCTTTCTGCAATGGAGACAGAATGTCTAGGTGATTTCTGAAATTACTTTGTCCCATCTAGATAAAAGTTCGTTGTAGATTTAATGTATGAAGGGAAGTCTACTGCTGAGATTTAGGTGGTTTAGGAAATAATATTGGCAGATAGACTGGTTAAGTTGGAAATCTGACAGAACATTAGGTAAGAACTTTGGGTGCAGTTATAGAAAGACCTTGTCATTGGGGGGGGAAGAGGGGGAACCACAACAACTGTAAATTGGGGGAAGAGGGGGTCCTGACATCAAGGTTCCAATTTCTCCAGGCCTGCAGGCTGACATGATAGCTACTAGAAAGGGTGTCTTCATAGAAAAAAGTGAAGCAAGGAGCAGGTCATCATAGGTTCAAATGGAGACACAGGCACAAGGCAATGACCATGACACCAGTGGTTGAAACCTCTTCCATTTCTGGAGGTAAGTAATTTGAATTGACTCCTTTCTATTGTGTAGTTAGTATTACTTACTGTACTCCTGTCAAGCAGGTGGAGTCTAATCCTGTGAACTATCTAGGAGCTATGCTTGGAGAATGGTTGACCCCCAGGTTAGGGTGAAGAACACAACCTGTATCCTGGGAGAGGAGATGAGGGAGGGTCAGAAGTTGGCGTGCCAGTTGGACACACAGGTGAAGCAGGTAAGGTTACTAAGCTTACCTCGGCCAGGTCAGCATTATGAGGATAACCCTGGTTTTGTCCTGCCTGATCTTGTTCATCGCTCTTGGAAGTAATTGTGTTGGAGGGAATGCATAGAAGAGACCCTTTTTCCAAGGAAGGAGAAATGTGTCTCCCAAAGAAAGGTGAACAAGACCACCTCTTGAGCAGAATAAAGGGCACTTCCTGCGCTGGATGTGGTGAACAGGTCCACTTGTGGAAGTCCCAACCTCTGGAATATCCCATGAAGGATCTGAGAGTTCAACTGAACATCTGCTGAGCATACTGGCTGTGACATACTGGACTCCAGGAAGGTAAATGGCTGAGATCTAAATCTGATGGGCTATACACCAGTTCCATAACTTTATAGCTTTTGTGCACAGGGAAGGCAATCTTGTGCATCCCTGTTTATTGATATAACATGCAAGCCACATTGTCCATCATGATTCTGACTGATTTGCTCTTGATGAGGGGAAGGAACTGAAGACAGGCATTCCTGACTGCCCTCAGTTCCAACACATTGATATAGATATTGGTTTCCTACGGCGACCATCTGCCCTGAGTTGTGAGTGTATTGAAGTATGCTCCCCACCCTCACAGCAATGTATTCATTGTCTCAGTTATTGTTGGAGCTGGGAGGAGAAATGGACACCTGTGCAGACATTGCATTGATCTTTCCACCAATCCAGAGAGTTCTTCACCTGGAGAGAAACCGTAACCTGCTTGTTTGTCTAAGCTGTCTCTGGTTGATGAATAGGCCCTCCTGAACTAGGCCTCAAAGCAATGGAGGCACAATCTTGCATGCCCCGTCACAAAGGTGCAAGCTGCCATATGACACAGGAGCTGCAAACAGTAGAAGGGAGTCAACTCGAATTACTTACCTTCAGAAATGGAAGCGGTTCCAAGAACATCACCACTTTGTGCCTGAAACTTCCCCATTGTCAGTCATCATAGATTATCTACTGGACTTACAAAAATTGGATCAGTTATATCTATTAGGTTCACCTCACCATGATATTAGCTTTTAATTCCCCACTAAGGGGTTTTCTATTTTTGCACACCATATGTCCTTGATATTTATTACGGGTCTGGAGAATCTTTACCCCCTGGTTAAGGATCCTTCTCTGACTTGGGATGTCAATGTGGTACTTAGATACCTGCTAGGACCTCTGTTTGAACCTATGGTGACCTGCTCCACTTATCAGGAACGTTTGAGACTTTACAAATTTGTTCAGTTGTCTTAGATCTACAATTGGTCTCCACCCTTCATCCTTCTTTGGCACGAGAAAATACTTTGAGTAAAACCCTTTCCCTCTCTGAGGGGATGGGACTGGTTCTACTGCTCCTAAATAAAAGAGGGAGTGTCCTTCTTGACTAAGTATAGTCTTGAGACAGGGGTCAAGGGCTAGTCAGGGGACCCTGAAAAGGGATGGGGAAGGTGGTGGCGAGAGACATGAAGAGGATTGATGTAGTCCTATATTATAACCTCCATGATCCACTTGTCTGTTTTAATAGGTCGCCAGGCCTGTTGGAAATCACAGAATATCAGGGTTGGAAGGGACCTCAGGAGGTCATCTAGTCCGGGGTCTCAAACACGGGGAAGGGGTTGGAATGGGGGCAGGGAAGGGGTGGGAAGAGGCGGGGTCTCATGGAAGGGTTGGAGTGGGGGCGGGGCCGAGGGCGGCGGGGGGGAGGTGTCAGTAATGCGGCCCTCAGGCCAATGTACTAGTCCTCATGTGGCCCTCGTGGTAATTTGAGTTTGAGACCCCTGATCTAGTCCAACCCCCTGCTCAAAGCAGCACTAATCCCCAGACAGATTTTTGCCCCTAAATGGCCCTCTCAAGGATTGAACTCACAACCCTGGGTTTAGTAGGCCAATGCTCAAATGGGAAAGGTGGTCTCCAAAAACGAAGAAGTGAGCATAAGGTTGCAGCTTGCAAACTACAGGCAAGGGAGGATTTGAGTCTTCAATCAACCCCATCAAAATTGCTGTTTTGGTGATGACTGGGTACTAGCTGAAGGATGGTGGGAAGCTCTTTTCCTCTGGAATCCCTTTTTTCCCCCCCTAGAAGGTTCAGTAGTTCTGTGAAAACCAGAGAACTGAGCCAGGTGTAATCTCTGGATAGTCTGAGACTTGCTAAATCTCCTTGTTTGTAGGAGTGTATATACCCAGACACCTCAATGTGGCCCTGGAATCCTTCAGCATGTGCAGGAGCGTATCCACAGTTCCTGAGAAGAGCATCTGACCATCAAACTGGAGGTCCTCAACAGTATTATGAACCTCCCTTGGGAATCCCAAAAACTGCAGCCGTGACACCCTGCGCATGACAATAGCTCCAGAGATGAATCTAGCAGCAGCATCTGTGGCATCTAGGGATGCTTGGAGAGAAGTTTTGGCTAATAACTGACCGTCCTTAATGATGGCCTAGATATGTTCTCTATGCTCCTTGGGAAGATGTTCAATAAAGGATGTGAATTTGTTGCACTTTGTGTAGTCATACTTAGCCAGGATTGCCTGATAGTTTGTGATCCAAAACTGGAGGGTTGCAGATTAATAGACTTTCCATCCAAAAAGGTATGACCTTGTCATAAGGAGTAAGCAATGAGTAATACTATCTACCCCACTCGTTTACGGCATCCACCACCAGAGAATTTGGTGATGGGTGGGAAAACAAAAATTCTGAGTCCCTGTGGGGAGGGGCTACATAATATTTCTTATCTGCCCATTTATCAGTTGGTGGTATGGTGGCGGAAGTTTGCCACACAGTCTTTGCTAGATCCAGAAGTGCTTCATTAATGGGTAGCGCAAACTGAGTGGGTGTCACTGACTGCAAAATGTCCAGGAGCTTGTGATGTCAGTCTCAAGAGGTATCTAGGGAGTGTCCGTCACCCTCTTCACAAGGTCCTGGAATTGACAAAAATCATTGGTCTTCAATGGTGGTGGAGGAATGACTGCCTTGTCTGCAGATGAAGACGAAACAGGAGTTTAAGGGGTAGCCTCTTTGTCCACCCTAGCCTTTTACTTCCTCAAAGGTCTCCTCATGTTGGAGGTTTGGTGGAGGAGACAGTGACCCTAGTTTCCTG